GAATCAGGCGGACAAGAAATTTCATTTCAACTATTACGCGAGAATAATTTTAACATTAACACTACACTAAAAACTATGCCTAATTTAATTTTCTCTACGAACACAAATGTCTAAATATCTTCGATTAACGCATAGTAACTTTCAATCATTAGTTTTGGTATAAGATAGATATATTAATTTATAACTGAATAAACGTTACAAGATTGATAAATATCGTACTTTACTTAGTCGAACTGTATCTTATTTAAAAGAAAAGTTCATTAAGCAAAATGATATAGTATCAAATGTATAAAGTAATACTGTATATACATTGATAAGGTTCAACAATATTATTATAGTGCAAGGATATTTTGGCCTAATAGTAAACTTTTTCAAAATTGGGCCCCTTGTCTGTAATTATTTTCAGCCTAGGCCCTTATTTGAAATTATTTTCATTTTTCGGGCCCTTACGTTGTCACTGGTTCGAGCTTATTAGTTTTTGTATTTGAATTAAGTTTATATATATTTAACAAATAAATTTTATTTTTGATTCAATAACTGATGTTAGATCATATTATTCTGGTGAATTTCTCCTTATCTTTTAATACTACATTTTTTCTTGTATGCGTTTAATAAAAGTTTCATATTTCACGAGATCATTTAAGACCAAAAACTTAAGTTTAACAATATTTAAAATGCCGTCAAATCTTTTTCGTCTAAACGAAAAATAACGCACGTAAGCACATTTTTGAGATAACGCTTTAGAAATTTGCGCACACGTCCTAAAATAGTATGTATTCGGATATAATCACGCAAGTGAAGCCGTCAAATTTCCAAATGGAACAATATACAGTTATAACAAAAACACAGTAAATAAAATAAATAAGGGCCCAAATTGAAAATAATTACATATAAGGGCCTGATATTTAAAAAATATTACATATAAGGGCCCAAAACATTGAGTATGGAAAAAATGTGACTACGGGATTACTGCGCCACAAAAGCATATGCATAAGCGAACTACAGTCTGACCTCCCTATAATCACACCCCATATAGTCACACCTCTATTTAAGCACCTAATTTTGTGTGACAGACTTAAAATATGGGGCCTTTGCTAGGAAAATCAGGTTTCGGGACCCCCTAGCCAAAAATAAATTTTTGATAGTATATTAATCTTTAGTATAAGAATAGCATTTTGATATAATTTTTAGGTTAGATTATCTTAGTATGAAAGTGGATTTTTTTAATTCCGGATTTTTTTAATATAAGATCTAAAAATAGAATTGGATAATGTCTTGTCACGTGAAATTGATCGTCAGAGTTCTTTTTATTGGTTATTCATTATCAATAAATGGATTTTTTTACTAGAACGTCGGTTGTTATCACAAATACATGTCATACTGCTAACTTTTCTCACCTTTCTTACCGTTCTTTAATTTTCACATCTTAGACTCTCTCTGGTTCTTAGTCTCCATTTCAGGCTAATTTTTTCAACAGATTCTTGTCGCTTTTGGTAACTTGATCTTTAAGTTCTTGATTTCTGAATCGGGCTCTTGATCCTTTAGATTTCAAGGAGTTCCTTGATCTCTACTTCAAGTTCTCTATCATTACTCGGGTTTTTTTTAATCTTGCTTCAGGTTTTTCGATCTGTCTTGCGTTCTTTGATCTTTGCTCTGAATTCTTTGTTACTATTCAGATTCTTAATTTATTATCTTTGTTTTAGGTTTTTATTTTTGTTTCAGGTTTTTTATTGCGCTTTGAGCTCCTCGATCCCTCTTCGGGTTCTCTGTTACTGTTTAAGTTCTTGGTCTCTGAATCAGCTTTTGTTCTTCGATCTTTGCTTCAGATTTTTTTGTTACCAACTTGGGTCCTTTGTTTTCTGCGTCAGGTTTCCTATCTCTGTCTCAAGTTAATTTTGCTTTGGCTTTCTTGGATTCTTTGATTTATGTTTCAGGCCTTCTGTCACTGTCTCGGGTTCTTTAATCTCTATTTTGAGTTTTTTATCTTTATATCAGGTTTTCTGTTGTATCTCAGATTCTTTAATCTCTGTATCGAAGTTTATATTGCTGCATTGGGTTTTTGATTACTGTATTAGGTTTTCTGTTACGGCTGCAGATTCTTTTGCTACTGCTTCAGATTCTCTGGTCACTGCTTCAGATTCTCTGATCACTGCTTCGGGTTTTTTGTCACTTCCTCGAACTCTCATTATATTTTACTTTTACTACAATTTAATTTTCTTTTACTCTGATATGTTGTTAGTAAGTTATTTCTAAAAAAAATCTATGAATTTAGGGTTTTCTCAAGCATTTTAATCAACTGGTTAGATAATGATTACGGTAATGCTTAAGCATTACAATCAATGATGCTATTTTTAGAATTAAATGCTTGAGTATACTCTTTCTATGTTTTATAATCTTTGCTATGCCTCTTAAGAACCTAATAAAAATTTTCTATTCGACTAGCTACTGAAGCTTCAATTTTAGTTGTGCTAGCTTCTCCTTTTAATAATTTTACCAATTTAATTTTCTTTACTATTTCGTCAAATATCTATCCAAACCTTTCAGTTTTAGGTCTTCTTTACTGAGAAGATTTTAAATTTAAATGAGTGAAAATTGGAATAGTGGGATTCATTATGGTTTGGCTAAATGTTAAAAGATAGTTGTATTTATTATGCTTATATTAATGTATCAGTTATTTGTTTTAAAAGCTTCGAAAATTAAAAGTTATTTTTTTAGACTAGTTAGATATTTGTTAAGAATTAATTGTTTATTATGTTTAATATGTATAAAAAATATAAAAGTAATGCTTGAGCAATCTTTATCATTGGTAAATTTTTAAAGAAAAAAGGTGGTTTGTGTCTCGTTGATTTGTTCATTGAAGTGATAACTCACTTGGTTAATTTATTCAATTTCCGACTAGTTAAAAAGTTACTTTCAATCCATTGAGTGAGGTGCTTAAAACACCCATTGTTAACAAAATGGCTTTACGACAATAAGTAAATATTTTTTTATAGGCAACTTATAGTAATTTACAGTTGCTACTTCGTACTGAAGGTAATATAGGTAATACGAAAAGAGGTATAACCTTCAATTTTTAACTCAATACAAATAAAATGTAAATTCTAATTCTAGTTAAAAATTATTCTTCGATCTATTGATTAAGGTGCTTGAGAACACCTTATTAATAAAATAAATTTTATTTATTTTCATCAGTTTTTTCTGGATTTGCGCAATATATATCTTTGTATGGGTCATCTACATGTTGTCTAATTTTTGTAAATAAATAGTATTTTCTTTCTTTTGTTAATAATTTAATAGGAATAGTTTTTAGTGTAGTGTTAATGTTAAAATTATTCTCGCGTAATAGTTGAAATGAAATTTCTTGTCCGCCTGATTC